CAGGGATTCACAGGTGTGATGCTTACCTGCTATGCAGTGGGTGGGGATTCACAGGTGTGATGCCTACCTGCTATGCAGTGGGTGGGGATTCACAGGTACGACCGCCTACCTACGCAGTGAAGAGGCCTGTGCAATTGCCTAGGTGGGAGGTGTTGCCATTGTGACCCTACTGGAAGAACATTATTTATTAGAGAATTGACTGTGTGTAGACGTTCGATCATCGATTCTAAGATGATGTGTGGAAGGAGTGAGATTCTGCAAGTTGGGTCCTTGTGTGTGCGTGTGAGGGGGGAACTCTGTGGGTCAGTGTGCAAGCTAACTGCAGTGCATTAAATCCTCTACGATGTTTTAACGTGAGTACACAAAACGCATTTTGCTGACAATGGAGTGAAGTCGCAGCACGTTTATGGCATTATAAAATGGTATGAACAGCTGTGTCGGTGTACGGTGTAATAACCATTAGTCTTATCTTTCGATATTTTCTTAGGTAGTTCTTGAGGGTTTTTGGTCAGGCAGCACGGGGGTTCGTGTGTCCTCACTGTGGAGTAGCGATTTGGTTTAATGGACATTTTTTCATCGTTTTTTCGAATACGTTAGGCGCTGAAGCGGTTACGCAGTCCGGACGTGAGGCCCTACATCGTATTCATTAAGCCACCGCCGCTCGACAGGCTGAGGGAGACTAGGATGGATGGAACGCCAGAGCAGCAACTTAACCACGAACGCACATTCACGGTAATTAACGCGTGACGAAGGGAGAAGGGAAGGAGAGGGAAGATAACGAGGAAGAAAAGAATGGAAACAGGAAGAAGGAAAATGCGGATGAGGGTGAGGGTGAGGCAGAGGGTGAAGAAGCTAGGCTACAAGAGCTAGTGAGACACATAGGGAGAGAAGGAGAGAGAAAGCAGGAATGTGTGAGAGAGAGAGAGAGAGAGAGAGAGAGAGGGGGGGGAGAAGAGAGACTTAAAGTTTAAGAAATGCTGCATTGGCTGAATTCCATTTTAAGTTGTCTTTATTACACACGGTTATACAAAAAGTTTGTATTACACACGGCCATACCAAAAGTCTGTATTACGTGGATTGAAAAAAATAGCTAGGTGGTCTTGCCTGAATTTCAGTCATGTTCGTAATCTTTTAACGTGTTTTCCCTAAAAGTAAAATCAGTTGATATATCAGATTAGTCCGAAAATATTTGCACATAATCATGCCAACTCTAAATCAGGAACGAGAAACGAAAACACTAGGCAGAATAATTATAGACTTGCCTTTCACTAGTGAAAAAAAGTTTTGCAGTAAAGCTTTAATTATACCCCTGCAAACGAAGTTAGAATAGGAGTCATCTTACGGTCAGTCGGTCGGTCGGTCGGTCGAGCGGGTGGGCAGTTCGGTCGGTCGGTCGGTCGGTCGAGCGGGTGGGCAGTTCGGTCGGTCCATTGCAAAAAGTTTGTGGCGTGAACTACTTCCACAGTTTTTAACAGATTCCAACCAAACTTCCTACTTGATCATCATGAAGTGTAAATGTGCGGAATATATGTTTTTGCGTACGTGTCAAGGCGTTGCCATGGAAACCGTATTTCGCCTTTCTTTTCTTTTCTTTTTTTAATTCCATCATATCTTCTTGTGTTCCGTGTACTCTTTACTCATAATATATGCCACACCATGACTTTCCATTTCCCCTCCAACAAAGCGGTATTGCGGGGGTATTAATCACTATCAGTGATAGCTCAGTATGAAATGCTTGTATTTGCAGCAGTATGCATTTCTCAAGGTGACTCATTAATCTTGTATTTTAAAGGAGGCTGAACTCGAGGAGATGGTCCGTGTGGCGGAGAAACTAGAAAGTGCCTACTACCACTTTTTCGACCATGTTCTCGTTAACGACGATCTTGACGAGGCAACTAACGAACTGCTGCAGCTTGCTTTGCGCATCGAGAATGAAGCTCAGTGGGTTCCGGCGAGTTGGGAGCGGTAGTTTGGTGCTGCCCTATGATCCCCCTCTCACCCTCAGTCCACTCAGTCAAATACGTTTATCCAGTGTATATGCTTGGTCCTTCATGACATGTACATACTATACTAGGAGGACAAAGTCCACTTTATACCCGATAGCAGTGTTTATTTTCTCATTGCAAAAGATATTTCATCATTCACTAATCAAATTCTCGTTTTAATATCCTTACTATATACGTATATTATATACACAAACAATAATTTTGTCAGTTGCTGATATCTAATGGCTACATTTTCTGTGACGTTGCTAGAATGGTACATCTATTTATGGTCAGTTCTGTTGTAGGTTTACACATAATTTTATTTTAAATAACCAATCCACAAAGTGATTCTAGCAAGTGTTTACAATTGAGAAAGTAGGCCCTACTTGTATTTTCTAGGTGGCATCTAATTTGTTAGTGTAAATAACGTTCACCAAAATGGTCTGAAAGTATTTTGATAGTAGGACGTAGTAAAATATAAAAGCATATTTATAGTTATGGATGTGACATGTGGCAGTAGAAACTAGTCATACCTACTATTTTAACACTTTCATCTAAAGATGCGTTTGAAGCAAATGTTTTTTGACATTCGGTGCTGATTTCGTAAATTTTTATTTGAATCTCATTGTTAAAAGGTTAAATCTGTGCATCCGGTGCAGGTCTTCGATTCGGTAATTAATTCTAAATAACAAGTGAGTGATTTGTACAGCAAGTCAGTATTTTGATAGTGCACAGTATGAGCACGTGTCATATCAGATGTCTCTTTTAGCCTCGTTTTAAAACCACCAGAAACAGTGATGTTTTGCACCGGCAGCTTTTGCAGATGCTTTCATGATAGAAATCAAGAGAGGCAGGTCTTGTTGGGACGGCAACGATTGAGCTGTATACCGAGCCTACAGAAACTCCTTGTTTGTTTGTTTGTTTGTTTGTTTGTTTGTTGTTGCTCGTTTTGAAATAATTTCGAATTTGAATCGAAATTGTTTAGGTACCATGTTTAGAGATTTTCTGCTGGCTCTCTCTTGCATTTGTTTATTACTGGTCAGAGATTCATATCGGTTGCACGTACGTATTCAAACTAAACGCGCGTTATAAATTCTATGACGAAGAACAGGGTTTATTATTTCAATCGCCAACTGTATGTGGTGTTCATATGTTCGACATAATATTTCAATTGTCACGGCATGTATTGATGCGCCTTACTGAGTATGCAAAAATGCGCAAATTAATATGAAGTGATAACTATCAATAAATCTAGTCTGACTGATTAGCCATGTTGAGTCAAATATGTAGAATAGAGCCCCACGGCCTGTATATGTTATTCCCATTATTCGTCGTGGAAGGAAATATGGGAATATGACTACCTTTTGTAAAACGATCATAATTTATCTTTTTGTTACTTCTATACTGCTCTACTTTTATATATTTGTAGCCTAAATCATTTCAAGAAGCATAATTAGGCAGTGGTCTGATATTATATAATAATATCTTGTTCGTTCTCTATTTATATATTTGTTTAAAATTCTGTCATGTTATTACAAATTCATATTGATGACAATGTCTAGCAATGTTATTATCATGATCATGGCTATACTATTACTATACTCTTATTTATATCAAGTAAATAATGTAAAGTAGGCACACTCGTGTTGGATCTGGCGTGGATTTACTACATGTGTAACTAACAATATCTACAATCGTTGACAGCTGACGTTTTCGCAGGTGCATGAATACTAGTCTCGTTCTCAAGCTTTACTCATTCATGGTAAAATTCAACGCCGACCGTCTCTGCACAGAAAGATTATTGTGAGGTTGCGGTTATTAGGTTTAATAATATTTTGTATATATAAAGTATTACATTACAATATGATTAAAGTCTTGAACATTTGAGTACCAACTAGCTCAGAGGCTTCTCATCGAAGTGATTCTGAAGCTGTGAAGTTCAGCTGTTGTTAGCAACTCACGATCACCAGCATGAAGCGTGAATAAAATCACCCAATTTCAATAAAATAAACACTTATTTTCGTTCATTACTGCCTACGCGGCATATGCGCAAACGCATCTTCAGGTACTTTTTTGTCTCTTCCGTCTGAAATTCCGCAGCGCATTGGTACGAGTAATAAATATATTACTCGTTGTTATTGTACAAGTGACACAAATTAGGAAGCAGGTATGACGTCTGGTCAAATTATCAACGCCAATCTGCTGTGCACGCCATATTCAAGCATTGGTCGCATGTAACCACAATGTACTGTGATTTGTCAAGCGCTATAGCAGTTGTTTTATAACGCTTGCACACAATATCAAATTTTAAATTATTATTTAGCTAATTGATTAAACGCTGCCAGTAGGACTCATTTACGGAGAGTGAAACAATATTTAATGATGGTTGGTATCAAACAGTTGTTCAGGAGGGGTAGACACTGCGGCTATGGGTACCCATCGTCGCAAGTAAGATTGCATCAGAGCACGTATATCACATCCGTATCTATATATGTTCAGCCGAATTAGTCCGTACTCGCATAACTAGAGAACTCCGCAGCCTAGAAGAAAATCTATATATATAAAGTTGTTCAGCCGAATTAGTCCGTACTCGCATAACTAGAGAACTCCGCAGCCTAGAGGAAAACTAAAGATATTTTCAGAATCAGCACGTCTGGGAGGTGGTTCTGGGTAAAGCAAAAATTTAAAAAAGTTAAAAAGTTAAAAATTGATAAAAATTCTATTCATCAATTGATGGCGGGTGCGTACAGATTAAAACATCACGTACGTGTGAATCCATGGTGTATACCCTTAACGGCGCAGTTGCATAATCGCTAGAACATCCGTCTCCTACACCGGGATTCCGGGTGCGAGTACCAGCTGGGGAACTTATTTTCCCCTTTTTCCATTTTTTCCCCTTTACCTACCTCTTTAGTATGTATTATTTTTAATTTCTTACTTTTCTATATTTATTTTTTATTTTTAATGTTTTTTATCTTTTGATTTCTTATTGTTTATTTACTGTTTGCGATGGGATGGCATGGGATGGGATGCGGTGCTATGGGATGGGATGGGATGCGGTGCGATGGGATGGGATGGGATGCGGGGCGATGGGATGGGATGGCATGGCATGGCATGGAATGGAATGGATGGATGGATGCATGGATGGATAGATAGATAGTTGGATTTTTCTGGGGGATTTTCCTTTCAACCAAGCGGTCACCAACTACGTAACGCCACTGATTTCCCCGGGCAACGCCGGGTATCCCACTAGCGGGATTTTTTTCCCACTTGAGTTCCGGACCCACCATAGATGGTGTTTTGTAATATATGGTTGGATTATAGTTAGTATTAGGGTTGGGGTTTCGGGTTCGGTTTAGAGTTAGGGTTAGGGTTAGGTGGTATTCATTTTACATTGTTGCTTTGAGGGAGTCGAGTGAATGGAGTGCGCTGATTGGCTGTGGTCCGGAACTCAAGTGGGAAAAAAAATTCCGCATCCCACTAGGCATGGGATGGGATGGCATGTCATGAGATGCGATGAGATGGGGTGGGATGCGGTGCGACGGGATGGGATGGGATGGATGGATGGATGTATGGATTGATGCACGGATAGATAGATAGTTCGATTTTTGGGGGTATTTTCCTTTCAACCAAGCGGTCACCAACTGAGTAACGCCACTGATTTCCCCGGGCAACGCCGGGTATCCCGCTAGTATGGCAGATGGGGTCGTTGTCGTCGTATCAGGTACTACAGATATGTACCCGAGGTAGTTTTAGGTTGTTTAGTATTATGTTTATATTTTCATATAATTAGGAGGTAGTTTTAGGTTGTTTAGTATTATGTTTATATTTTCATATGAGATATGTTTAGGGTTAGGGTTAGTGTTAGGGTTTGGGTTAGTGTTAGTGTTAGGGTTAGGGTACACTTCTGTAGTACAAGTCTGGTACACTTTGTGTATACATATATGTACCTCGGTTACATATCTGTAGTACCTGATACGACAACGACCCCTTGAGCGCTAGGACATAGTGCTCTGATTGTTCGTAACAAATAGTAAAGCTTAGACTGACTCCAACGTCTCTGTGGATTGCTCAAAACAAGTTGGTTTGTTCAGCCCTCGACATTATTGACTCTGGTATTGTAATACAGTAGTATATATAAATATAAAATCTAACTCTGAAAATTCACGGAAACCCGTTTATGCAGCCAGCCAAAAAATCTCGGATCGGCCTTACCCCGTGAGATGTGACCCCTACGATTGCCAACAGCCCGAAATCGCATGCATTACAGCGTCCGTCGATGCGTATCGTTATTGTCACAACCCAGACCTGTAGTGTGTTAGCACAGCACCCGCGTAACCTTCCAGGGGGATTATACAGCGGAGTGTACCTACACCCGGTGTGTTTCACAGTCCGAGTTGTCCGATGTCGGATGTTTGTTGTCGGCAGCGTCGTGGTGTGCGCGTCGCTCCTGTCCGAACTGAGGAAAGAGCGGGATGTATCTGCTGATGGCTAGCCTGTCCAGGTAGCCGGTCACGTACGGAATGTCGTACGTGGCGAGCTTCGACGCGTGGAACGTGCTGTGCTCGGCACTCGTGAAATATATGATGCCTCTCTCCAGCGGCGTTCCTGGGAATAGAACGAATGAATAGATACAGTCAGTAGCTGTACTGTCCCATTAGAAACCCAGCGTCTCGGTGAACTCGGGGATGGGGGTGCGTACGGAACAGATGCATGAAGATCGGGAGATGTTTCACCTTTCGAGGCCTGCTGCTTTCGGGTAATTAACTGTTTGATTTGATTTCTCTACGAAGCTAAAGAGAACTGAAAATCTGCTTCGATGCCAGAGAACGTACGTAGTGTCTCTATGACCAAACTGCCAATAGAATTAGTTATCTATCATAGATACCCCTGAATAACTAAATAACTATTTATTCTTAACTAAGAATAACTATTTATTATTAATGAATTAACTATAAAATAATCAATGTTGCGATAACTAACATTGGAACTCTATCTGCGTGATTGTGGAGCAACGTTTCTCTCTTCCTACATGAAGTTTTGTTTGAGTAACGTACGCAAGAATAAAACGGCGTAGTTTGGTCCATTGTATTTCTCTGGGGGTAAACGGTTCTACACACCTGCCACTGTGTTGTCGAGGATGAATCCTGTCATACCTCCGACAAAGAAGCCCATAGATAGCAGGAGAGTTGCCACATCATCTAGCACTTGGATTCCTGCATGCAGCATCCGGTTACAATATATAGAACAGTGTAATTGTCTAGGTATCTTATAAAATAGATTATATATATATATATATATATATATATATATATATATATATCGGCTAGAGATCAGGCGTGACAAACAAATTATTCAAATATTACGTTTTTTACCCTGTAAATTACTTCGTAACCGTAATACTCCGTAAAAAAACACATTCTGTTTGTGCTAGCAGGACTGGTGGGCGCGCGTGCATGTGTGCGTGTGTGCTTGTGTGCATGTGTGTGTGTGTGTGTGTGTGTGTGTGTGTGTGTGTGTGTGTGTGCGCGCGCGCGCGTGTGTGTGTGCGTGTGTGTATGTGCGTATGTGTGCATGTGCGTATACGTGTGCATGTGCACGAGCGTGCATGTGCGCGTGTGTGCGTGCGTGTGTGCATGTGAGCGTGTGCCCTCTGAATTGTACTTTGACTGGCTAAAATATTACATACAAGTGTATTCGGCACTCGACGAGTTATCGCTGTTGCGCTCGAAGCTACGAGTGAAGATTGTGCCGTGCGCTTGTTCTACTTATACTACCTCGGCTATATAACCCTGACGACATCAAGCGTCAATAGCGTCGCGCAGCAGTTCTCGCGACGCGTGACATACTGCGTGATTGGTGAGGTCAGTAGGTACGCGCGTACCTGTGTCGATGACGTGCGGATAAGCCTTCGTAAACTCGGGCATCATGACACCGAGCAGCATGCTCAAGCCGAGTATGGTGATGTTGCGTGACGAATGCCAGTCTATGTACTGCAGGTTGCTGAGGCCGACGCCCGTGACGAGAGCCATACCGAGGCAGAAGATGCCGCCCGTCACCGGCACAGGCATCGTGTTAATCACGGCGCCGCATTTCGGCACGATCCCGCAAAATATCATGATGGCCGACGCTACGTAGATGAGATTTCGGCAGGCTACCTGTGAGAAGGCGCGAATAAATACAAACGATTCATTCATCCGGATTTTTTTTTACATATATATATTATACGGTAGGGCGAACAATCTCATGGCAGCGAGTTGCTCTGCTTGACAAGACATTGAAGATTCTGTTAATGAAACAAAAGCAGCGCAGTTGCGGAGCGAAAGCAAAATGCTCTACGAATGGGTCCATAAAGGACGAACTCCCTGTGATGAGCTGGCGAGCGAGATGTGTTAGAACCTCGAGAATTTATGTCGATAAGGCAATTGCGCACAGTGCACGCATCTATGACAAGAATCGAAGCCGTTATTCATGGATTCATATAACACAGGAATAAGTAGAGAGATATTTGGTATTTGGTATTGGCTGAGTAGTATGGCTCGATGAACGGCGGGCCTATCACTCTTCACATGCACAACTTTCTCAGCAGTCTGAGGCGAAGGGCGAGCAGTGGATGAGTGATGATGCCCACCAATTTTTTTTTACAATTACAAGTGCTTCCGTGCGTTAATAGATGGTTTTATGATTTTAACACCGGCAAACTAACACGAACCCTCGTCAGGCCCAGAGCTCCGACGGCCTGGCTGAATGACGTCACGCCTAGCCCGCCTCCCATTGCACCAGCAAAAAAGCAGCCCAGCCCTGCGAAATGAAGAAATGGGGCATGACGTAATTCACGTGGTGATCACGTGCATGAGTATCGGCACGCGTATCCCATTCAACATAAACGGCGTATATAATGACTGATAATGCAAACGTAACGTTTGCTGGAAGAATCTGACCCTTCATGTTGTGTTATTCCAAGAGTCCTTAATTACTTTATTTCATTTCGTTACTCGTATCATGCTAGATTATCGGTGCCGTGTTATGAGCATGCCCGATTTGTATATCTATTCTCTGTATACGTGCGCGCCCGCTCATCATATATATATATATATATCATAATATATATAATATATATATACATTTACCTTCAATAGTAACGGCTCTGTTGACTGCATGCTTTGGTGGAGGTGGAATCTCACATATCTTCGCACATGCGTAATAGTCTCCCGACAGATTCTACGATTCCCCGCAAAGACAGCGACAGTCACGGCTACAAACGATGCTATCGACAATGTCGGCATGCCTATCTGTCCTGAGAAATAAGACATGCTGGTTTTAACCCATATTACACTCTATACATTTAGATGTGTGATTATGTGTGGGGGCGTACGTGCGTGTGTGTGGGGTGTGTGTGTGTTTGTTTCTTTCTTTCTTTGTTCGCGCATACATGTGCGTATGCGTGTGCGTGTGTGTTCGTGCGTGTATAAATGCGCGCGCGCATGTTTGTGTGTGTGTGTGTGTGTGTGTGTGTGTGTGTGTGTGTGTGTGTGTGTGTGTGTGTGTGTGTGTATGTGCGCGCGCTGCGCGTCCACATTAAATAATAGGACGCGGCACATCGGAGTTTACTCTCCCTAAATCTACGTGGCTTTGTTGTTTCTATGTATATACGAGTGTATGAATTAACGCCCATAAATTATGTGCGATAACTCGCTATCTGCACCACAATTGCGCGCTGCCTGTGCGAATAAATACGCGAATGTGGTGAATTTGATGAGTGAATGTTGGTGAATGTGTTTTTAATGTGGTGAATGCGGTGAATTGCATGTGCTTTCGTGCTGACTAGCTGCACTCGAAGTATTTTGTCTGCTTGAATTAGGACTCTAAATATTGTTAGATTGCCCCACTACCCACGACGTAATCGGTTTCCCGTTGGTTACCTGGGTAGGGGATTTTAAACCAGGGCGTGTGCGCTATTGCGGCTGTTTTGGCATCTGTTCGCGCCCAGTAGGCAGGCTCGGAGGGGTCGTCGGGAAACACATGAGCAACGGTGAGAATCAGACAGAGAAGCCATCCAGCTATCATTCCGATGAGTATCTGCCGAGAGAAAATTACTTGTGATCGTCAGATAATAATTGTGACATAAGATCTAGGAATCAATGTTATGAAGCCAGAAAACAATGCGAGAGGGGTCGTGAGAACAAGAGACCGAGAGGGATCGAATGGGGAGAGAAGAGGAGAAATTAGTGAAAATAGGTATAGTAAGTCGGGATTCCATGATTAGTCGTGGCAGTTGGCTAGTAGGACTGAATCACGTTGCTACACTGCCCTGCCCTGTCTAATTTATAAGTTGTGTTAATTTGGTATGATACGCAATTAAGTTAAGTCTACCGAGAACAAGTGGATTTCATAATTAAGTCCAGGGTCTACTGTTATCATTGATACGTTTCCACCAAAAAAGTCACGCATGTATCGGCGGGAATTCTAGAAAGTACTCACCGGGAATACAGTGAATATTGGCAATTTCAGCGGTTTCCATCGCCCACTTCGCGTCCAGCTAGGTATTGGAACGGATACCTTACCATTAATATGTAAGGAGCAGATCAAAGCCACAGCCATAGTGCTATTGACGAGAATAAAATAGAAGCAGTGATAATTTGTATTGCAATGCATGGCTCAGTGTTTGTATCTCGTGTACAGTTTAAATTAAATGTGGAAATTTCATCGAACTTAATATGAATGAGATACTGTATCAGAACCCGCTTAAACGCAAGATTAGTATGATAAATATAAGGTTATACAACTGTTTGTGCGGAGATCTGATTATCCCATTCGAGTATTAATAGTTTTATCTTCACGCTAAGTTTAGCCAATGTGAATTTTTTTTTATCGTGGTAGCACTAAACCTTTATCACTCACATAAACAGTGGTAGAATTTCTGTCTCACGTTTCACTCGTGAGTTATAGTGATTGGGGTGT